TCTCTTTCTCTCTCTCTCACTCATATCAACAAATGGAACAAAACTCTCTCTCTCTCTCTCTCTCTCTCTCTCTCTCTCTCTCTCTCTCTCTCTCTTGTGCGCGCACTTGGTCTGATTGCTTTGGCTACCTTAGGGCTGCGTTCCCCGTGCCCACGTGGTAGACAATGAAGGGATTGCATGTTGCCCCCCAACCCAACAGCGGTATTCAGAGATGGGGTGGGGCCGCCAATGGGGGTCCGGCTAACGCAAAGACCGAGCATTTTGCCAGTAGCTGCGCCTCCCTTTTCATCGTCCCCCACCCTAAACCGAATAGTAGTAGTTTTTATTTTTTCGTCGTTATTCGAACTTCGGTCTGTATTTCATGAGTTCAAGGGTGTACCAATGGGCCTACCAATTGAGCTAGGCCCGTTGGTGCAACATTGTGTGTGTATGCCTTCGGCGGCCAAGTCCCACTAGCAGCGTTGAGTTTGCTCAAGGCCTGACTCTGGACGTTTTCTGGACATCTCCACAAACACGTTCAGCTTCAGGCGTTGAGGAAACTCAACCATGCTATCGGTAGTGGGACTTGGCCCCGGAACATTAAGGTGAGGGTACGTCAGGGGCTAGGTCCCACTTGCACGAATTAAGAGATACTGACCGTAGGTAGCAAAGATCAACGGCCGAAATCTCCTAATTTGCGCAAGTGGGGGCAGATGGTGGGCCATTCTCCGATTGCACGGTCCTCTTCGTTCGCGTGCCTTACTGGGGATGGCGGGGGTGCCACGAGACAACATGTGAGCCAAGTGCTGTTAGACACGATCGGCACCCCCGCCATCCCCAGTAAGGCACGGGAACGAAGAGGACCGTGCAATCGGAGAATGGCCCACCATCTGCCCCCGCTTGCGCAAATTAGGAGATTTCGGCCGTTGATCTTTGCTACCTACGGTCAGTATCTCTTAGTTTGCGCAAGTGGGGGCAGATGGTGGGCCATTCTCCGGTTGCACGGTCCTCTTCGTTCGCGTGCCTTACTGTGGATGGCGGGGGTGCCACGAGACAACATGTGAGCCAAGTGCTGTCAGACACGATTGGCACCCTTCCAGAGCACAGTAGCAGTATGGGCAGGTAGAAGAAGACGGCCGGCTTCCGCGGGTGCTTGTCGAACCTGGCGCGCCCTCTCGACCGCGCACGCGCACTCCACTCGGGACGCGAAGGCTACTAGATAGAAGCCTAGCAGTTGTCGTCAGCCGTTCCGACGGTTGTGATTTTGCACTTTATGCGAAGAATTCGTTCCGACGGTTGGTCGGTGCGCGCTCGCCCTATCGGATCCAACGAGGTGGCGCATTGCTTCAAAAATGTTGCGCGAGGCGCGGCAGGTTTGGATGATGACTATCGGCGCGTCGAAATCGCAGGGCGCGGGGATTGAACTCTTCCCGCGCTCGGTGTCGGCTCTCCGCGCTGCGTCAGCAATCCACGGCGGGAGGTGGGTGGGTATCGGCGCTGTTGCGCCCTGTGACTCAGCGCAGCCTCGTCATCCCGCCGGTTGTCCGCAGGACGTTGACCGGGCGGCTGCGTTGACTGCGACCTGTGCGGCCCACGCGGGCGCCAGCAGTGAGTGCGGGTGTTTGAGGTCGTCGCACATGGCGGTCGCACATCCCTCTTTAGGATCCACGCGGCTTGCCGCCCTTCTTCAACTCCCTTCCTCTCGAGCTCCTAGGCTTGATGAGCCTGTCCTTTCCACGTCAGCCCGTTTTCCCTCTCCCTCCTCCTCCTCCTCCTCCTCCTTCTTCTCCTCTTCCTATTCCTCTCTCTCCTCCTCTCTCTCCTCCTCTCTCACCTCCTCTCCCTCCTCGGAGCGGCCTCTCTGCCGCACGTTGACAAATGGCGCCGCCTCCTCTTCGCTAATGGCCGCCGCCGCCCACATGACGCTCCCTTCTTCTGCGAACGGGACGTCGCACCGGCCGCCCACTCCCGTCTGCGCGGCACCATCAACGGCTCTCCAACCTGCCGCCCCCAGCGCCACTTGCCGGCGCCGGCGCCGTTCTTGCGGGAGCCCTCGGACCGGTTGGCGCCACGTCACTCGGGAGATCGGTCTCAATGTCTTCGCCGATGCGGTATCGGGATCGCGAGGCAAGGTGTCGACGGCCGCCACCGCCAAATCGGAAGGGCAAGGCTCCACCCTTACGCGCGAAGGTGGGGACCTCTCATCAACCACGCACCTTGCTGACTCTACGTATATGTATATAGCCTCCTGATGAGTCGGTGAAACTCCGACGAAACAGTTTGTCACAGCCCCTCGTTTGTTGTCCTCTTCTCCCTCTCTGCCTACGGTTTACCGGGCAGTTCTATTTGACGATCTATATTTGTGTGTCTGTAACTTTGTGACAGTATATGTATATATGTGTGTGCGCATTTGTTTTCCTACTTAAAATTTAATGGTTTCTTATGTGCTTCCCTGACCTTATTTATCATACTCCCCATTAGATGGCTTGCACGTGGCTCACTGGCAGATCCTGGTTTCTACTCTCCACCAAAATTACTCTTTTTTTCTTTCATGCACAGAAATGATACTTTTTTTTTTTTTTTTTTTTTCCAAGCTGTCATCCTCTTCAAGACACTGCAGGTTCTCACCTTCCCTTCAAAATCATTTTTGAAAAAAATAAATAAATTGTTTGTGCGCTCTCAAGCTGTCAGCTCCGGTCTATGTTCATCGAAAGTGAGTTCTTGTAACGTAACGTAAATAATACACGACGAACGTTCGTTGGGGGACGCTTTGGGCACTTATTCAGCTGTAGTGCACTACACGTGTGCGGGCACGCTCTATCATACGAAAACACGCACACACGGAGAGAGAGAGAGAGAGAGAGAGAGAGAGAGAGAGAGAGAGAGAGAGAGAGAGAGGTGGGTCAAATGTAGAGAGTATGATGAGCGGTGGCAACTTGTTGAAGGGTCCCGGCTCGTCGGGATGAGATTCGGTTAGGTTTGCAAATGATCGACTGAGGAAGAACGAGATGAGTCTGCGAATAAACAGAATAGGGTGGCGGGGGAGAGTGTGCACAGAAGAAGAATGGAGTTTTTTTTTTTTTTTTTTCCCGAAGAATGGAGTTGGGAAAATAGGAGGGCTCCAAAAAGAAAAAAGAAAAAAAGAAAATAGGAGGGCTGTCTTTGTCAAAAGCGACCATGGACTGAAAGATTGACTTGATTACGGTAATGCACGAAGATTCCAAGAGTAGTGGTGGGCTGTGATACCAAGATCGACGGAGATCCCGTCCACCTGGGGCAATCACATCGGACCGAACGGCCCGAGGGGTGGTATTTCCTCTTGCGATCGCGATCATCAGGCATTACTAATTAGGTTGTCGACCATGTCGTCGCCCACGTGGGTGGTCGCCAACCTCCTAATTCAGTCTCTGAATTTACATGCGCGCGCCCGCGTGTGTGTGTGTATGTGTGTGTGTGTGTGCACACTCGCACGCGCGCGCTCGAGTAGAGCGGACGAGCGGCTTGAGGTTGGCGGAATTCAGTTAGCATCCACGAGCTTCCGATCAGTGTAGTGCGCGCGCGCGACCGCAGAATGCGAAATTTCGTGCGGGCGAGAGAAGTGTGTGAAGTGTGTTCAGCAACCAGGGGGGGGGGGCGTCCCTTAGGACGAGACGAGGAGAGAAGAAATTGAATTGAGCGTCTATTTGCTCTACCGCCCCCGCTTTGGTAGGGCTGATCGACGGGTGTACTTGCCACGTGGCACGACATGCGCGTAGTTATTATCCCGTATCTTTTTTCTTAACTTTGTCTGACGTCGCCCTTACCGGTAGAAGGAGGTGGGCGACGAACACTTGTCAGAAGGGGAGTGCGCGCATTCCACAGAGGCAAGGACGTCCTTTTCCTTTGTCTTGGGAGTGCCGAGTTTCTACAAGGAAACCGCACTGTAGAAAATTTACAAGCACAAAAAAAAATTGAACTGACTTTCTTGACCAGACCGGGCAATTCCCAGAACGGACGAAGCAACCATCATCACACCAGTGCAAGAACGGACGATGGTGAAGTCTCTTCATGATGACAGGGGAAAGGGGGCCGTACACAGGGTTCAAGGCTCGCAGTGTTCCAATCTGTTCTTCTTCATCTTTGGTCTCAATCTTGCTGTAATTCCCTGGGCCTTCTTTTCTGGGCCCCCGCCCCTTTCCCCTCCTTTTTTTTTTTTTTTTTTTTTTCCCCTTTCTTTCCCCTCCTTTGCTGGCGTTGTTCTATATCTTTTCGAACTTGTATCTCGAGTTTGCCGGGCCGTGTGGTCCCACTAGCAAAGAGGATCGGATCGAATGCCTGAATCTGGTCGACTTTATGGAGAGGTGCAGAAATCGAGATTCAACTGCTTTTTCTGCATCTCTGCATAAAACACATCCAGATTCAGGAGCTTGATCCAATCCTCTTTGCTAGTGGGGCTCTCCCAAAAAATAAAGAAAAAAGAAAAAGGAAAAGAAAAAGAAAAAGGAAAAGGAAAAGAAAAAGAAAAAGGAAAAGGAAAAAAGGAAAGCAAAAAAGTTGTCTTCTTTGCTTTCCTGCAATGAATACAAAAATGTAGAATGCCGCAGAGTACAATGCTGCTACCGTGCAGGCCTGACCGAAGAATGTACAATGCTACGGGCTCCCTCTCCTCCAAGGAGCTCCCCTCCTTGTGCCACCTGTTGCTCTCTCTCTCTCTCTCTCTCTCTCTCTCTCTCTCTCTCTCTCTCTCTCTCTCTCTCTCTCTCAGGCCCCCAGCTATGGCTGGCACTGGCTCCTTCCTTTCTCGGTCTCAGGTCGCTGCTGCTAGTGCTGCTTCATTTGGCTGGTGTGCCGAAGCAGCCTTGTGGCTTAGTGACTTCTTTCTGACTGGGATGTGTGTTGGGGCTGCCTGGGCTCTTCCGTCATGGCGGCCGGGTTTTACTAACGGGACAGTAGGCATTGCCTTCTGGTCGTTTCTGGAGGTGGCCGTGGCCTACTGGGACTCCTGGTCGTTCAGTCCCCACCTGGAATTGGCCTGGGTCGGGCTTTTATTATTATTATTATTATTATTATTAAGGATAGTTTGCAAAATACCCCCAGAAGTTGAGATATATGCCAAAATGCCCCTAAAAGATGCGGGTAGAGCGGAATACCCGTCTGACAAAAAAAGTAGTTTGTGAAATGCCCCTAGCATCGGTTGGACCCCCATCTTTGTAATATACCCCTACCGGGTACTGTCCAACTTTGCCAAATCCCCCAGTACTTGCCAACTTCTCCTAGGCGGTATTGCAAAAGGCCAAGGCCCAAACGGGGAGGTCCAGATTGCAAAGTTGCACATCCGCCTGACAGGGGCACAACACAAAGATTTCGGCCCAAAAGGGCATTCCGCTGTACCCACATGTTTCAGGGGCATTCTGGCATATATCTCAACTTGTGGAGATATTTTGCAAATTATCCCTTATTATTATTATTATTATGATTTATTGAGGGCTGCGCCACACCTCGCTGCAGTGCAGGGGGAAGGCAACGCTGGAGGGACCGGGCAGGCAAGCCTGCCCCTATGATCCCTCCGTAGCCCAGAAAAATTAATTTAATATCGTTGTGGCCTGATGGACCACAGATCAGATATTAAACTGATCAGAACAGATACACTGTACTTAATCTTAGTCAAAGGGCCGAGGAAGGGTATGGAGTCAAGCCTGCCCCTATGATCCCTCCGTAGCCCAGAAAAATTAATTTAATAGCGTTGTGGCCCGATGGACCACAGATCAGATATTAAACTGATCAGAACAGATACACTGTACTCGCGCTTTTGGCAACCGACCGTGCCCTTAACTTTTCAGGCCTGCCGTGCTTGGCCGGTCCGGGGCCATCTCCTTTTTGGGTTGAAAGTCCTTGAGAACTGCGTCATTCCACTTGCTGCTGCTCTTCCTTTAGACCTTTTTCATAACTTGTGACGACAATTGCTGTGGTCTGCATAAGTTCTTCCCTTGTTAATTAACCACCAATCTCCGCGCTGATCCGTATATCCTCCTGCAGCTGTAGTCTTTGGTGGGTGCCCTCTCCCTGTCGGTCTCGGCACCCGCATGTAGCGGTGGTGTTCCAGGACAGAATAGATATCCACATATCCATCCGTGGAGGGTGGTAACACCAGGGAACTGATTGTTAGTTTGAAAAGGCAAGAATTTTGATGCATGAAAAACTGGATAGGTGTGAAGATGAGGTGGGGCATTAATAACATAAGGACCATTAGGGTTATTAACTGCAGTATGGTAAATTTGTCCATGACTCATAGGACAGTGGCTGCACTTTTCTGGAGATATTCTCTTTTAGGACTAAACTCTGCAGTTTTCACCCAAACCAAATCTCCGAACTGAGACAGAGATACATGTCTGTGCTTATTTGCGTGTTTTCAATCATATCCTGTTGAGGTTTCTGTAACTCTTTTGCAGTTTTCTGCAAGATCTAGTGTTATTGGGGTGTATACTTTAGTAGGGTGCCATGGGCAAAGTCTTGTGTCTGGTGTGGAGCAGGAAATCTAGTGGTTTCTGAGGCTTCCGTCCAAGGTGCAGTTGGGTGAAATGTTGTCGTATACACGTGCCTCTTTAGGGAAACTGTCATGCCAATCATGTTGATATGGGGTCATAAAATGCCTAAGAGAAAGTGCTGTACTTGATTATTCATTTACTCGATTTGTCCCTGGTCTTTTGGGTGATGCCCTCAACTTGTAATCAATTCAATTTCACACCGTCAATGTCCACTTTTGAATCTGGCATCCCTATCATTCACTATCGTTTTAGGAAAACCAAAGGATGTATCCCACTTATAAAGGAAAGCCTTCAGCCACTGGTACATGGCCATACATTGGCTGCGGGCTCCTCGTCGCGACCTTTCTGAGGCCATTGATGAAATTTATCACCTCCTCATTGCAAACTTTCTGAGGCCAGTGATGAAATTTATAAATGGCGGCCCGTGAATCTGTGATGGACTAACCTCACACCCTGTGCTACTTTCCTTTCGGAGTCGGGCTAAAATGTGGAAGGGCTGGAAGGGCCCAGAAAGTGCGTAACTGAGGCTGTGCTAAGGATTTTTTGGGAAAGATGGGCATGGAGTTCCAGGTTGGAGCTGGACTCTCCAATGTCGACTCCATTGTGACGAGGATGGAGATGAAATGGTGGGCTGGTAACGTCTCTCTAGTTCAAAAAATATTCACG